TCCACGACGCTGACGCCGCTGCCTGTTCCAGCTGCAGTTACTCTTGCTGACCCCTCCGGTGGTCCCGTCGTTGCCCGCAGTTCCACCTCCCTTCCCTGTCCGGCGGTTCCTTCGGGCACTCTCACAGGTCTGCATATCCCCTCGTTCTCCAGGAACCTAGTTGGTGTCGGCTGCCTCCAGGACCTTGGCGTCACCACTACGTTCCCTGGTCACGAGCGGTATGCTGTCTGTACCGAGGCCGCCACTGGTGCCCCCCTTACCACTTTCCCCCGGGACCCGGTGTCCGGCCTGTTCACACTTGACACCGCGCCGTCCCCGGCTGGGTCTTCCCCACCGGTAGCTGCGTCCACCCAGGTTGCAGCCGCGTGCTCCTGTCGGTCCCTCACTCACCCGACTCTCCTTTGGCACCACCGCCTTGGTCACCCTGCACTCCCACGTCTGCGTCACATGTCCCAGCACGGTCTCGTCCTTGGTCTCCCCGGTTCGTTCCCCGAGTTTCCCTCCTCCCCCGCCCCACCGTGCACGCCTTGTGTCGAGGGCCGGCTCCGTCGTGCCCCTCACTCCTCCTCTTTTCCCCCTACCACCGCACCACTGCAGACTCTGCACATGGACGTCTGGGGCCCAGCCCCGGTCCATGGGCCGCGTCGCGAGCGCTTCTTCCTAGTGCTTGTCGACGACTTCACGCGCTACACCACCGTCTTCCCCCTGGAGCGGAAGGCCGACGTGCCTGACGTTCTCATCCCCTGGCTTGTCTCTGCTCGTGTCCACCGCGGTCTCCCTGCCTTGCGCCTTCACTCCGACCGGGGTGGCGAGTTTGCCTCAGGTGTCCTTGGTCGCTTCTGTCGTGCGGAGGGCATCACCCAGACGTTTACCCTGCCGGACTCCCCGCAGCAGAATGGGGTCGCTGAGCGACGCATCGGTTTGGTCATGGAGGTGGCTCGCACCTCCATGATCCACGCCGGTGCACCCCATTTTCTGTGGCCGTTCGCCGTGCGCTACGCCGCTCACCAGCTTAACCTGTGGCCGCACCCCCAGCGGCCGCAGGTTTCGCCGACCCTTCTGTGGACCGGGTCCCCTGGTGACGCGTCTGCGTTCCGCGTCTGGGGCTGCCTTGCTCACGTTCCTGCCTCTGGCACGGACAAGCTCACTGCCCGCACCCTCCCCTGCGTCTTCCTCGGTTTCCCCCTTGACGCGTCCGACTGGCACTTCTACCACCCGCCGTCTCACCGCTTCTTTCACTCTCGCGACGTCACCTTTGACGAGTCCGTCTCCTTCTACCGCCGCTTTCCCCACCGTGGTCCCCCGGTTACTCCCCCCCTTTTCCTGGTTCCTCCCTCCCTGGTGGTCCCTGCCCCTCCCCCCCCCCCGCCCCCCCGTCCGGCCCCCTCTGGTGTGTCTCACGTCACCCCCCTCCCGTCGGTCGTCCCGGTCGACGAGTCTTCTGACTCTGGTAGTCCTCCGGCGCAGTCCTCGCCGTCTGTCCCTCCCCCGGTGTCTCCTCCTCCACCGCCTCCGCAGCCGCCGTCGCCGCAGCTGCTGCAGCCGTCGTCTCCACCGCCGCCGCCGTTGCAGCCGTCGTCTCCGCCGCCGCCGCCGTCGCAGCCGTCGCTGCAGCCGCCGCCGCCGCCGCCGCTGTCGTCGCTGCCGCCGTTTGTGGACTCTGGGGGTGTCCCTTCTGGGGGTGCAGGTGTGGAGGGTTCGGGAGGTAGCCGTCGCGCAGCTTGTGGCCCTGGTGTTGGTGTTGTGTCGCCGCAGCAGCAGTCCCCGCCTGTGTCCGCCCTCCGTCTGCTCGGCCTTCCGTCTCCTGACCCTGCGCCTGTTCCTCTCCTGCCGTCTCCCCCTCTTCCCGTCTACGGCCCCGTGTTCCCTCTGCCAGACTCGTCCCCGGCTCGTCTTCCCCCTCGTTCCCCTCCTGTGTCCCCTCCTCTGTCTCCTGACCCGACGCCGCCCTCACACGTCTGGTCTCGCCGCCCCTCTCGTGCTCGTCCTGTCTCCCCTGTCCCGCGCTCTCACCCTATGTTGCTCCGGTCCCACGCGTCTCGTCCTCCCCTCCTCCCGTCTCCTCCTCCGTCCTCTCTTGTCGTTGCGTCTCCTCCTCTGTCCGACTCCTTTCGTGCCGCTCGTCCTCTTGTTCCTCGGGTCCTTGCCTCTCTCGTTACCGACCCGTCTGTTCCCGTGTCGAGTCTTGACGCCCTCGTCGCTGCGGTCGCTGACTTCGCCTCTACCCGCCGCCTTGACTACGCCACCGCTCTGGTCTCTCACCCTGCTTGTCCTCCGTCTGTCGGGGGTGCTCCTGCCCTCGGCAGTGACGTCCTGGAGGACCGCCAGTTTGAGCTTGCTTTCCTGTCCGAGGCTGCTCCCCATCTCTGTTCCATGCTGCTAGTCCCTGAGGGTGACCCAGACGCTTTCGACATCCCGACCCCTCGTACTTACGCTGAGGCGGTTTCGGGACCCTGGGCCTCTCAGTGGATAGCTGCCATGGAGCAGGAGATGGCATCTTGGAGATCCACCGGCACCTTCGTCGACGCAGTTCCCCCACCTGGGGTGAACGTGGTCGATGGCCGTTGGCTCTTCAAGGTGAAGCGCCCTCCTGGAGAGCCGCCTGTGTTCAAGGCGCGTTACGTGGCTAGAGGCTTCAGTCAGCGCGAGGGGGTGGACTTCTTTCAGACTTTCGCTCCTACCCCGAAGATGACTACTCTTCGGGTGCTGCTACACGTAGCGGCTCAGCGTGACTACGAGCTTCACTCCCTCGACTTCTCCACTGCCTTTCTTCAGGGCAGCCTTCACGAGCAGGTCTACCTGCGTCGCCCTCAGGGCTTTACTGGCACCTTCCCCCCTGGGACCCAGTGGCTTCTGCGGCGGCCAGTCTACGGCCTGCGCCAGGCGCCTCGTGAGTGGCACGACACTTTGCGTGCTACCCTTGCTGACCTGCAGTTCTTTCCGTCCTCTGCAGACCCCTCGCTCTTCGTTCGTGCTGGCTCGACTCCGTTCTACATCCTCGTCTACGTAGACGACCTGGTCTTTGCCACTGCTGACAGGGACGCACTGGCCTCCGTGAAGGCAGAGCTGCTGAAGAGACACACCTGCACTGACCTTGGAGAGCTGCGCCGTTACCTTGGCTTGCAGATCTCCAGGGACAGAGCCGCGCGCACCATCACCCTGACTCAGTCACACTTGGTGCGCCAGGTCCTTCAGAGGTTCGGCCTTCAGTTCTCCTCCGCACAGCCCACCCCTCTTCCTCTGGACCACAGACTCTCCGCTCCAGTTCCTGAGGAGTCGGTAGATCCCAGTGGTCCTTACGCTGAGCTAGTGGGTTGCCTCATGTACCTGATGACTTGCACTCGCCCAGATCTCGCATACCCTCTCAGCATCCTGGCTCGTTTCGTGGCCACTGGCAGGCACCGACCTCAGCACTGGTCTGCCGCTAAGAGGGTTTTGCGTTATCTTACAAGTACATCGGGCATGGGGTTAGTGCTAGGCGGACGCAGGCCAGTGGTCCTTACTGGACACACAGACGCTTCTTGGGCAGACGACGCCGAGACGCTCAGGTCTTCCCAGGGCTACTGCTTTAGCCTTGGTTCAGGTGCTGTCTCGTGGAGAGCTACCCGCTCTTCGTCTGTTGCCCAGTCCAGCTGTGAGGCCGAGATCTACGCCGGTGCCATGGCGGCACAGGAGCTCCGCTGGCTGACCTTCTTGCTCACTGACTTAGGTGAGCGGCCTAGCTCTGCCCCGATCCTGTACGCTGACAACAGGGCCATGATCCTCCTGTGTCAGGAGCCTCGACTCGAGGGCAGAGCGAAGCACATCCAGCTGCGGTACTTCCTCCTGCGTGAGCTACAGCAGCGTCGCCAGGCTCGCGTAGTACACTTATAATTTAATATAGGCTTGGTAGGTTGTTACTGAACCTTTCTGTAGGGGGTACAAACCCCTCCTTGTACTCCCCTCTCTTCCTAATCGCTTTCTCCTTTTCTCGTCACTTTTGCCTACCCCTAGATAAACTTCTCCTCACGATATTCCATGGCGTCACTTCTAGTATCCTAGCATACCTAGCCTCCTAAGTTTAAGAGGCTCGTGTCCTAAGTTTCTAAGAGGAGGGCCGTGAGGACGGGCGCGGGGGCCAGCTAGGACGGGCGCGGGGGCGGCTAGGGCCTAGGGCGGAAGCATGGGCAGGCGGCGGGCGGGACCTACCTACTGCTGATACCATTTTAGAACTGAGGGAATTGAATGACTAGGGAGTGAGAGTACAAGTGAATATACCTAAGTGTTGTACCCTCCAAGAGGCAACCCTATACAGTCTGTACAAACATTAGAGATACACATGTTTGACACCACCCTCCCGTCGTTGCTGGTTGCAGGTGCGACGCTCGCAGTCGCACCCTAGCGGTGGTTGGGGGCTCGACCAATCACTTCTCGTCGTTCAATGTTTACCTCTCGTCGCTGAATTTCAGGGTAACCTTGTGTACTCAGCTTGGGTTTCGCTAGCGACCAAGAATCATAGACTCTGAGTCTTGATTCTTAGGTCGCGCGGATAGTAAACACTTGATACTTGAGTTGTGTTACCATTTCTTGACCAAAAGGCGTTAGGGTAATTTTGAACAACCTTATACAGTACTAGCCATACCAACGGCTCGTAGCTTGTGTCCACTGGGTTGACGAGACAACCCACACGATACAAATCTCCACCTTCCATCCCGTTTCAAGATTATATTTGTGGTGCCTCCGGGGAGGCACTCCAAAAATTGATGTATGCCGCTTAGCGAGAAACACACACGGTATTCTTTAGTAAAAGGCGAAAGAATAGTTCGCTATGTGTGAGACTCACGGATGATAACTTCGAAACGTTCTGAAATCGACTTTTATTCCAACAAGCCCTGTGTCGCAAACTACCGTGTGGGCCGAGAAAAGCCAGCGAGGCAAATGGCAGGGAGTTTTGGGCAGCTGGAATGGTGGGGGTTGTCTCGTCAACCCAGAGAACACAAGCTACGAGCTGTTGGTATGGCCAGTATGTAGGACACAAGTCACACACGCTCCACTCTCTCAAGTACTTCGTGAATCTGATGCAGCGCCTCCTGTAATTTCTTCGAATTGTTGGCGCCAGGGGCTTCGTTAGCGGGCTACTTGAGAGCACGGTGGATTGCCGTGTGATTCGAGGGGATTTGGAGTTCTACTTGAGTCGATTTGAGGCCTCCAGTTTTGGTAAGCTTGGGTTCCTTCTGCAGCGGCCACGCCCACGGCCACGGCCAGGGCCAGCAGCGTGCTCCTTCCGCAGGAAACTCTGTGTGAATATTACTGAGTAGTGGTTAGGTCGATTTACGGATCGAAATAAGGATCGCAAGATAGACCCGGTTGCGCCTCCCAGCCTACTGCATTTCTCGCTTCTTAAAGCCAGGGATACGAGTTTTTAAAATCCGCCCGTTTAGTAGCGTTCAGATTAGGGATACTTGCGGTGTATGCTCTCTTGAGCCAGGTGCTTGGTAGGCCGATCTTGTGTCGCGTACGCTGTTTCCGCGTCAACACGCCACGTTCTGCCAGGTCGCGTCAGGTGCGACTAGTGCAGCCGCTGGAGCATTTTGAGACTCGGGCTTAAGAACCAGCTCCTCTGTGTCAGGTGTGACTCGTGCAGCCGCTGGCGCATCGCTTAAAACCAGCCCATCTGTATCAGCTGCATTCCGCGTTTCTGAAATAAAAAGCCACATTTTAGGCATGTCAAATCTGTCTTATGGCGTATCCAGCCCCTGCAGCGTTCCTCGCCCGTTTCGCCTTCTGAGTCGCCGCTTTCGGCTCCTGACTTGCCTGTTTCGCCTTCTGAGTCGCCCGTTTCGCCTCCTGAGTTGCCCCTCACGTCCCCACCCTTTTGTCACCCCTCTCGCTCTCCCTCCCCGCCCCTTTCTCCCTGTGCGGCTCCCTCTCACGCCTCTCACTCGCCCTCCCCGCCCCTTCCTCCCTGTGCGTCTGTCTTTACGTCGCTCGCCCTTCTTGCTCGTTGTGTGCTCTCGCCCCCGCCTCGTTGCTTAAATCCTTTTGCCCATCAGCCGCCTTTCTCCCAGCTTGTGATCCCTCTCACCCCTTGCCCCTGCGATTCTCTTCCCGCCAACTCCCCCTCCCCCTTCCCCCTTACCCCTTTCCCATTCCGCATTCCCCTTCCCCATCCCCCCTCCCCCTTTCGTGGAAATGCTGTGGCCCCTCTCTCTCCTCCTCCGCTCCTTCCCTGTTCCCCACACTTCGGAATCCCACCGCACTCCTCTATTTGTCTCCTCTTCCGCGCAGGTTTTCCGTCTTTCCCACCCGTCCGCCCTCTTTGGCCCTCTTCTCTCCTCCCCTCTCCACTCATTCCATCTCCTCTCCTCCTCTTTCCACTCTACCCATTTCCTCTCCTCCCCTCTTCTCTCCTCCCCTCTCCCCTTCTCTCTCTTCTATTATCCCCTCTCCTCTCCTCCCCTCCCCTCTCCTCTCCTCTCCTCTCCACCCCTCACCTCCCGTCCCCTCCCCTCTCCTCTCCTCCCCTCTCCTCTCCCCTCCACCCCTCCCGTCCCCTCCCCTCTCCTCTCCTCCCCTCTCCTCTCCCCTCCACCCGTCCCCTCCCCTCCCCTCTCCTCTCCTCCCGTCTCCTCTCCTCTCCACCCCTCCCCTCCCCTCCCCTCCCCCCTCCTCTCGACGCCCTCCACAAGCAGTCCTCACATTCTCAGCCCTTAGCCACACATGCACTGCTCAAACACACAGAACACGATTGCCCTTCCTCCTCTGCTCTTCCCTTGCATCATTTCAACATTTGCGAAGTCTGCTGGTCGCACCCTTTCTGTCTGCATGCACCCCATCACACACACCATCACTCACCCCACATCACACACATTATCACCCACCCCATCACACACATGCTATCACATTTTCTGCCTTCTCCCATGTGATGTGATACACTCTCCCACAAATCCTTGCACGCTTTCTCCCTAGACAGGCCCGCACTTCTCTCATAGTGCTTTCTGCCATTGCATGATCAAGACCCCACCCTGAGATCTTCGGTGCGCCAGTTCTGCAGCGTTTCCTGGTTTCACATGTCACATCAGCCAGCCAGTTGGGATGAGATTCGGGCAGTCATAAATTACCGCCCTGCCCGCACTGCTCGGTATGTAGCGGGCTTTGCTGTAGTGCTGGCAGTGATGGCTGCTGGGAGATCAGTGCTGTTGGAGGCAACTCCTGGGATAGCGGCTAAGGTGCAGGCAAGGAATAGATTGATAATGGAGGATGTGAATTTTCGTCTGGGTAAAAAAACGAACTGAGTGTCAAACATGTGTGATTGTCATGTTTGTATAGACTGTATAGGGTCATCTCTTAGAGGGTACAAGACTTAGGTATATCTGTGTGTACTCTCACTGTATCAACTAACACTTCTCTGATTTTGTTATGGTATCACGCGTAGGTTAGGATCCCCCCCCACCTACCGCTTCCGCTCGCCCCTCCTAGCCCCGTCGTGCCCCGAGCCCAGTCGCGACCCCCCTAGCCCCGTCGCGCCCCTTCCTGGGCCCCGTCGCGCCCCTTCCTGGGCCCTGTAGCGCCCCTCCTGGGCCCCGTCGCGCCCCTCCCAGGCCCCGTCACGCCCCTCCAGGGCCCCGTCGCGCCCCTCCTAGGCCCCGTAGCGCCCCTCCTGGGCCCCGTCGCGCCCTTCCTGGGCCCTGTAGCGCCCCTCCCAGGCCCCGTCGCGCCCCTCCTAGGCCCCGTAGCGCCCCTCCTGGGCCCCGTAGCGCCCCTCCTGGGCCCCGTCGCACCCTTCCTGGGCCTTGTAGCGCCTCTCCTGGGCTCAGTCGCGCCCCTCCCAGGCCCCGTCGCGCCCCCCCCTGGGCCCCGTAGCTCCCCCCCCTGGGCCTCGTCGCGCCCCTCCCAGGCCCCGTCGCGCCCCTCCTGGGCCCCGTAGCGCCCCTCCTGGGCCCCGTCGCGCTCCTCCTTGGCCCCGTAGCGCCCCTCCTGGGTTCCGTCGCGCCCCTCCTGGGCCCCGTAGTGCCCCCCCTGGGCCTCGTAGCGCCCCTCCTGGGCCTCGTACCGCCCCTCCTGGGCCCCGTAGCGCCCCTCCTGGGCCGCGTCGAGCCCCCCCTCCTGGGCCCCGTCACGTCTTCCGGCCCCGTCGCACCCGCCCGGCCCCGTCGCACCAGCTCGGCCCCGTCGCGCCCGCCCGGCCCCGTCGCACCCGCCCGGCCCCGTCGCCCCCTGTCCAGCCCCGTCGCAGCCGCCCGGCCCCGTCGCACCCGCCCGGCCCCGTCGCACCAGCCCGGCCCCGTCGCGCCCGCCCGGGCCCGTCGCACCAGCCCGGCCCCGACGCACCCGCCCGGCCCCGTCGCCCCGGCCCGGCCCCGTCGCACCCGCCCGTCCCCGTTGCACCGGCCCGGCCCCTGCGCTCGTCCCTGCCCCGGCCCCGGTCCTCCTCACTGGTACGGTTTCCCCTCCCCCCCCCCCCCCCGCCCTGCACTGTCCTGCACCGTCCTGCCCCGCACTGCACCGCCCCTCACCACCCTGTACTGCCTGGCACCGCACTGCACCGCACTACACCGCACTGCACCGCACTGTACCGCACGGCACCGCGCCCCACCTTGCTGCACTGCCCTGCACCGCACTGCGCTGTTCCTGATGGTGGCGGAGCTTCGCTTCGACGCTGAAGGCCAGCCTTTGGAGTTCGAGGCGTGGCTTGCCGACCTCCGCCGCCAACTCACTGGCCAGCGGCAGGATGGCGAACCGCTTTCCGCACACCTTGACGGTACGCTCCCCTGCCCAGTCCCCCCTGCTATTTTGCCCGCTGACTCCACCCCCACCGAGCGCGAGTCTACTGCTGTCACTGCCCGTGCGCGCTCTGTCTGGCTTTCTCGCGATGCTGTCGCCCAGCTTGCCATTAGCAACACCCTTCCCCCGTCCGAGCGCCCTCGCTTTAGGTCCCTCACCACTGCTCAGGCATACTTAGATGCTATCATCCAGCGCTATTCCACTCCTCCGGCTGCCTCGGTGAATCGCCTGATCCTCCCGATGCTCTTTCCTGACCTTGCATCCTTCCCTACTGTCTCTGACCTTGCTGCCCACCTGCGCTCGATAGATGAGACCTGGCGCGCTGCCTGCACTGACGCACAGCTTAGAGCCCACCAGCCGCCCATTACCTCTACCCTCTACCTGCTTGCCACCCGCCTCCCTGACCGCCTTGCTGTCGCCCACGACCGCTTCCTTAGCATTCACCCCGCCGACCTCACCCTCACTGACTTTGTAGACACCCTGACTGTGATAGAGACCCGTCACCGCTCCATCGCCCAGGCGAGCGGTGCCGTGCCGGTCCCTATCTTTCAGGGTTGTGCCCCCGCTCAGTGTACCTTCTCCGACGGCTCTGCCGCAGTGGCTGAGACTGCTGCTGCAGCGCAGTTTCGTTCGGGGAAGGGCCGCCGCCCCAAGGTTGGGCGCGGCGGCGGCGGGGGTGCGGGAGGGGGTAGTGGTGGGGTCGGGTCGTCTGGTGCTGGAGCGGACGAGGGGACCCTGCCCAGTCCAGCTGAGCCGCTGCCCCTGCACTTGCAGCAGCCGCAGCAGCCGCCGCAGTCACAGCCTTCGCAGCAGCCGCAGCAGCCGTCGCAGACACGGCAGATGAGTGTCCTCCCGCCCGGGTGGCCCGGTGCTGGCGGTGGCCGGGCGCGTGGTGGTGTGCCGAGTGGTGGCTCTGGCGGCGGGCGTTATCAGTACCAGATCCAGACCGGTCCTCGCCGCGGCTTCGTTTGCGGTAAGATCGGTCACTCCACTCCCCGCTGTTTTCGTCGTCTAGACGACCTCTTCCGTCAGCGCTTCGGCCCGTCGCCAGACCTCCCGGACTGGCACAGTTTGCTTAGTCGTAAGATTCAGATCTTTGATATGGACATGGATGCCATTGTTTTTGCTCTGCATGTGATGTATGCTGATGACTCTAGTGTGCTTCCAGCTTATTACTCACTGTTGCCTAGCGTAGGTGTGTCTAGCGTAGCCTCCCCTGCTGCGTCAGGCGTAGGATCCTCTGCTTTGTGTAGTCTTGGTGCTTCAACCGTCGTTCCGACGCCAGACGCCTCTGCTTCGCTTTCCTTCACCTTGGACTCTGGCGCTTCTCGGTGTTTCTTCCGCGACTCCACCACCCTGACGCCGCTTCCTGTTCCTGCTGCCGTCTCTCTTGCTGACCCCTCTGATGGTCCGGTAGTCGCCCGCAGTTCCACCACCCTTCCGTGTCCGGCGGTTCCTTCGGGCTCTCTCACAGGTCTGCATATCCCCTCGTTCTCCAGAAACCTAGTTGGTGTCGGCTGCCTCCAGGACCTTGGCGTCACCACTACGTTCCTCGGTCAGGAGCGGTATGCTGTCTGTACCGAGGCCGCCACTGGTGCCCCCCTGTCCACGTTCCCCCGGGACCCGGTGTCCGGCCTGTTCACTCTGGACACCGTGACCCCCCCGGCTGGAACGCCCCCTCAGGTGGCTGCGTCTACCCAGGTTGCTGCTGCCTGCTCCTGTCGGTCCCTCACTCACCCGACTCTCCTTTGGCACCACCGCCTAGGTCACCCTGCGCTCCCGCGTCTGCGTCACATGTCCCAGCACGGTCTTGTCCTTGGTCTCCCAGGTTCTCTCCCCGCGTTTCCCGCCTCCCCCGCCCCCCCTTGCACGCCTTGTGTCGAGGGTCGGCTTCGCCGTGCCCCTCACTCCTCCTCGTTTCCCCCTACCGCCGCGCCGCTGCAGACCCTGCACCTGGACGTCTGGGGCCCCGCCCCCGTCTCAGGGCAGCGTCGAGAGCGCTACTTCCTTGTGCTTGTCGACGACTTCACTCGTTACACCACAGTCTTTCCCCTGGAGCGCAAGGCCGACGTGCCTGGCGCTCTCATCCCCTGGCTTGTCTCTGCGCGTGTCCACCGCGGTCTCCCTGTCTTGCGTCTTCACTCAGACCGTGGTGGCGAGTTTGCCTCAGGTGTCCTTGGTCGCTTTTGTCGTGCGGAGGGCATCACCCAGACGTTCACCCTACCGGACTCCCCACAGCAGAATGGGGTCGCTGAGCGACGCATCGGTTTGGTTATGGAGGTGGCTCGCACCTCCATGATCCATGCCGGTGCACCCCATTTTCTGTGGCCGTTCGCTGTGGGCTACGCTTCTCACCAGCTTAACTTGTGGCCGCACCCTCAGCAGCCGCAGGTTTCGCCGACCCGTCTTTGGACTGGGTCTCCTGGTGACGCGTCTGCGTTCCACGTCTGGGGCTGCCTTGCTCACGTTCGTGCCTCCGGCACGGACAAGCTCACTGCCCGCACCCTTCCCTGCGTCTTCCTCGGTTTTCCCCTTGACGCGTCCGACTGGCACTTTTACCACCCGCCGTCTCACCGCTTCTTTCACTCTCGCGACGTCACCTTTGACGAGTCCGTTTCCTACTACCGTCGCTTCCCCCACCGTGGTCCCCCGAATACCCCCCCCCTGTTCCTGGTCACTCCTTCCCCGGTAGTCCCTGCCCTTCCTCCTCCTCCTCCCCGTCCCGCCCCCTCTGGTGTGTCCCACGTCACCCCCCTTCCGTCGGCGGACCCGGTTGAGGAGTCCTCTGACTCTGGTGGCCCTCCTGTGCAGTCCTCGCCGGCTGCCCCTCCCCCGGTGTCCCCTCCCCAGTCCCCTCCTCCACCACCTCTGCCGCCGCTGCAGCCGTCGATGTCGCTGCCGCCGCCGCCGCCGCCGTCGCGGCCCCCGTTCGCTGACTCTGGGGGTGCTCGTCCCGGTCGCCCTGGGGGTGGCCCCTCTGGGGGTGCTGGTGTGGAGAGTGCCGGTGGTAGCCGAGGAGCAGCTTGCGGTCCAGGTGTCGCCGTTGCGCCACCGCATCAGCAGTCCCCGCCGGTGTCAGCCCTTCGCCTGCTCGGCCTTCCGTCACCCGACCCTGCGTCTGTTCCTCCCCGGCCGTCTCCTCCTCTTCCTGTCTACGGCCCGGTTTTCCCTCCACCGGACTCGTCCCCGGCCTGTCTCCCCCCTCGTTCCCCTCCTGTGTCACCTCCCCTATCTCCTGACCCGACTCCTCCGTCGCACGTCTGGTCTCACCGTCCCTCTCGTGCTCGTCCTGCCTCGCCTGTCTTGCGCTCCCACCCTATGTTGCTTCGTTCCCACGCGTCTCGTCCTCCCCTTCTGCCATCGCCTCCTTCGTCCTCCCTTGTTGTTGCACCCCCCCCGCTGTCTGACTACCTTCGTGCCGCTTGTCCCCTTGTTCCTCGGGTCCTTGCCTCTCTCGTTACCGACCCGTCTGTTCCGGTCTCGTGCCTTGACGCTCTTGTCGCTGCTGTCGCTGACTTCGCCTCTACCCGCCGCCTTGACTACGCCACAGCTCTGGTCTCTGACCCTGCCTGTCCTCCGTCTGTCGGGGGTGCTCCTGCTCTTGGCAGTGACGTCCTGGAGGACCGCCAGTTCGAGCTTGCTTTCCTGTCCGAGGCTGCTCCCCATCTCTGTTCCATGCTGCTAGTCCCTGAGGGTGACCCAGACGCTTTCGACATCCCGACCCCTCGCACTTACGCTGAGGCGACTTCGGGACCCTCGGCCTCGCAGTGGATAGCTGCCATGGAGCAGGAGATGGCATCTTGGAGATCCACCGGCACATTCGTCGACGTAGTTCCCCCACCTGGGGTGAACGTAGTCGATGGCCGCTGGCTCTTCAAGGTGAAGCGCCCTCCTGGAGAGCCGCCTGTGTTCAAGGCGCGCTATGTGGCTAGAGGTTTCAGTCAGTGCGAGGGGGTGGACTTCTTCCAGACCTTTGCTCCGACCCCGAAGATGACTACTCTTCGGGTTCTGTTACACCTAGCTGCTCAGCGTGACTACGAGCTTCACTCCCTCGACTTCTCCACTGCCTTCCTTCAGGGCAGCCTACACGAGCAGGTCTACCTGCGTCGCCCTCAGGGCTTTACTGGCAGCTTCCCTCCTGGGACCCAGTGGCTCCTGCGGCGCCCCGTCTACGGCCTGCGCCAGGCTCCCCGTGAGTGGCACGACACTCTCCGTGCTACGCTTGCTGACATGCAGTTCTTTCCGTCCGCAGACCCTTCACTCTTCGTTCGTGCTGGCCAGACTCCGTTCTACATCCTTGTTTACGTCGACGACCTGGTCTTTGCCACAGCAGACAGGGACGCACTGGCCTCCGTGAAGGCAGAGCTGCTGAAGAGACACACCTGCACTGACCTTGGAGAACTGCGCCGCTACCTTGGCTTGCAGATCTCTAGGGACAGAGCATCGCGCACAATCACCCTAACTCAGTCACACTTGGTGCGCCAGGTCCTTCAGAGGTTCAGCCTTCAGTTCTCCTCTGCACAGCCCACCCCTCTGCCTGTAGACCACAGGCTCTCCGCTCCAGTGTCTGAGGAGTTGGTAGGGACCAGTGGCCCCTACGCAGAGCTGGTGGGTTGCCTCATGTACCTGATGACTTGCACTCGCCCAGATCTCGCATACCCTCTCAGCATCCTGGCTCGTTTTGTGGCCACAGGTAGACACCGACCGCAGCACTGGTCTGCCGCTAAAAGGGTTCTGCGTTATCTTGCTAGTACATCGGGCATGGGGTTAGTGCTAGGAGGACGCAGGCCAGTGGTCCTTACTGGACACACAGACGCTTCGTGGGCAGACGACGCCGAGACACTCAGGTCTACCCAGGGCTACTGCTTCAGCCTTGGCTCAGGTGCCGTCTCGTGGAGAGCCACCCGCTCCTCGTCTGTTGCGCAGTCCAGCTGTGAGGCTGAGATCTACGCTGGTGCCATGGCGGCACAGGAGCTCCGCTGGCTGACCTTCTTGCTCACTAACTTAGGTGAGCGGCCTAGCTCTGCCCCGGTCCTGTTCGCTGACAACAGGGCCATGATCCTCCTGTGTCAGGAGCCTCGACTCGAGGGCAGAGCGAAGCACATTCAGCTGCGGTACTTCCTCCTGCGTGAGCTACAGCAGCGACGTCAGGCTCACGTAGTACACTTGGCCTCAGGTGCCAACACGGCTGATATCTTTACGAAGGCGCTTGCGCCTAAAGATCATCAGCGGCACTGTGTACAGCTTGGTCTAGTTCTTGTAGCCTCTCACTTGCTAGGACCTTGACTTTGTACTGTCCTTTATATGTATACTCAGACTGGACTTGTGTCCTCTCCCAGTGGCTGGACTAGTAGTGCCGCCCTGCTCTTGTTCTTGCCTTGTCTGTACTCCTTCTGACTGGTCTCTCAGACCCTTGTCTCAGAGGTTGGACTAGTAGTGCCGCCGTGAGCTGCTTGTTTAGGACATTCCCCTATGCAGTCTAGGGGGTGTGTCAAACATGTGTAATTGTCATGTTTGTATAGACTATATAGGGTCATCTCTTGGAGGGTACACGACTTAGGTATATCTGTGTGTACTCTCACTCTATCAATTAACACTTCTCTGATTTTGTTACTGAGGTTCAGAAGGACAAATTTTTTGTCCACAAGATGCTGCTTGTTGATGTGTTTTGCCTGCCGCTGTTGGCTTGCAATGAGCTGATCGGCGTGGCCAGTGTTTTACAAATGCTCGAACAAAAGTTTGATCTTTTACACCATCCCATTTCAATGTTGTTTTTTTGTGCCTTCGAAAAGGCACTTCAAAAATTGTTATATGCCGCTTGATGAGAAACACACACGGTATTCTTTAGTAAAAGGCGAAAGAATAGTTCGCTTTGTGTGTGACTCACGGCTGATATCGAGTGCAATGAGGCTGGGTCCCACTACTATTCTGAGATTCCTTCACATGCAGAGTGCGTCGTGGGTTTAGCTCTTCCTACGTGGCATGCACTATTCGCACTTGGGATTTTCACAGGCTCTGCCTCCATGCTCATGTACTCTCATTCCCATCTCGATTCCTGAATCTTCGGCACTCATTGATGAGAAACTTTCTGTGACCATTCGGTTGAGGATGTCGCACACTCTGTCATGGAGCGACGCAAAAGAGGGTCGCACGTCCACCCTAATGCTCCCTGCGAACGAGCAGAACGATTCGCGAGCAATTCCAGCTTCGCCGTGCATCGATCCCCCTTGAGACTCGCCCAAAACTCTCGAATTAATTTTGGAGGGAGGAAGAAATAATTCCAATTAATACTCTTCTTAGATTTGGGTCAGGACGGAACGTCTCCCTTTTTACTCCTCAGTATTTCGTCTTGCTAGGATCGCGTAGGCCCTAAACAGGCCGCATCTTGCCAGATCGGCGATGCTCCTGCTGAATGAAGCCGCCAGGTTACGTCACTGCCTCCTTTGGTTTACTCCCCTCCCGCTCCCTGCCCAGCATCCGTTTCCTCCGCGCGTCTACCAGGCGCATCCTGTTCGCATTCCCTCCGTTCCGCCTCCCTTCCGTCACTCTTGTTCCCCCTTCCCCTTTTCCCCTTCTCCCCCGTTCTGCCTTTCCCCCACTTCCCGTTTTCCCGTCCCCCTTTTCTGCGCCCCCCACTGTCCTTATTGCTGCCGTTCCCCTCCGCCCTGCTCCCCCTCCCCTCCTTTCCCCTTATTGGTAGATCAGAATCAGAATGGCTTCTAACCGTCCTACTTTTCCCTAACGCATGAATGAATCCCCTACTTACTCACAACCCCCCCCCCCCCCTACCCCGAAAACACCCCAACTCCCCGCCCCCCACTCTGTCACTTACCATTCTAGCTGATGGTAGGTAGCCGCAAAGGTGCGGCAAGACCTGTGGGTAAATATAATGAATTGTGAAAAAATGTATTTTTGTACCTGCTCCAGATGAGTAGACCTGGATTGTCTTGCGAATTTTTTGTGTTTTGTGACCCAGTGGGTTTTTCACCCGGGTAGTTATGGTTACTGAAATTTCAGGTCGTGGCAGGGACGGTTATACGAGAGGGGGGTTCTTTTAGCAGGGACGGTTACATGAGAGGAAACTCTTATGGGACATGGGCATTCACATCACACAATGCATATCATTCTGGTCTAGGCAGACCACGCAGGGCACTGCTGCTGGCGATGAAGGTTTGTGCTTGCCTCGCAACCCTCTCCTCTGTGAGTGCTTCTGCCATGATATCCGACCCACTCAGAGCGAATCCACCTGTTGGAAATGTGAGGGTGGAAGGGGACTTCTCAGTTGACTTTTGAGCCTGCCAAGCAGCCCTCTCCTCTGTGAGTGAGCACTTCTGCCATTACATCAGACCCACTCAACACAATGCCACCTGCTGGGGATGTGAGGGTGGATGGAGACTGTTGAGTCGACAAAAGAATCTGCCTTTCGACCCTCTCCTCTGCAAGTGCTTCTGCTATTATACTAGACCCATCGAAGGCAATTCCACCTATTGGGAATGTGGGGGTAAAAGGAGACCTTTGAGTCAAGTCAAGAAACTGCCTCGCAACCATCTCCCCTCCCAGCGCTTCTGCCATATTATCAGACCCACCCAACGCAAAGCCACCTTTTGGAAGGTGAAGTTAAAAAGGACAAACAAAATAGACTCAAACCGTCTCTTTGCAAGACGTTTCTGCCATTATCTCAGACCCGCTCAACGTGAGTCGACCTGTTGGGAATGTGGAAAAAAGGTTGCTGGCTGGCTGGTGATGATGTGTGACACACACTAAAATCCAGTGGAGTGAAAACGGAAGGAAAACACTGCAAACCAGGGAATCAAGGCCATATGCAATCTAGCTTAAAGCTCATGAAGTTAGAGGTTGGTGGAAAAGAAAAAGAGATCCTGACCTTTTTTAGGAGGTAGTAAACCAGCCGCAGCAGCAGAGACAGGCAACACCCATGGAGGCAAGTCATCCCTGCTTCTTCGAAACGCATCGACCGCGCCATCAACTCCAGCAGGAGCACCTCCAGGTGCTTCCATTGCGCCTGCTGCCCCTGCTCCGGCCATGGATGGTGCGCTTGCTCTTGCTGCTCCTCCTGCCCCTGCTGCCCCTGCTGCCCCTGCTGCCCCTGCTGCTCCTGCTGCTACTGCTGGAGTTGGTCTGGCTGGCCCTGCAGATACAGCAGCAGCGTAAGCTACAGCAGCAGCCACGGCTGGAGACACGTGCCTAGGGGAGTCCAGGTGTGCATGCGCTGCAGTGTGGGAGATATGTGGTGTGGTGCCGGGACCTGCAGAATGCGCTATGGTTGAAGGGTGTATGTTGTGCACGGATGACATGTGGGATGCAGCGAGTGAAGCAGGTACATGTGAAGCAGGTGGCATATGGGATGCAGCAGGTGTATGTGGTGCATGAGGGGCGGGTGGCATGTGCAGCAGGCTGACTCCGGTGTTCAGCTGGTGCCGGATGGCCTGCAGCTGCGACATCGCCTGCTGCACCTCTTGTTGTAACTGGTTCAAGGAAGCAGGAAAAAGGGGAGAAAATGAGTGGATGGAAAGATAAGAAGCATGGATGTAATGTAACAAGGCATGTAAGGTGGGATGAGAGGCATGCCAGGGGGGGGGGGGGGGGGGGAGGGGGGAAGGAAAAAGGGTAGTTGTGTATCTAACTCTGCAGCTGTGCCATCGCCTGTTGCTCCTCCTGCAGAAAAGCAAGTTCTCCGTACCTCAGTCAGTTGTGTTTGGTCGGCGAATGAACTGAACTTGGTTCGAGCAGCGTGTATAAACCCCATGGCTCGTCCTGTGAGGCGTCCAGCTGCCCGTGCTATAACGGGGATATCTTTTGGGCCTGCCCAAGCAACAGGGTGCCCAGCAGAGAGAAAAGCAGAACGGGGGGAGTGAGAGGGGCAGGGGGAGGGGCATGTAAGATGGAACGAGGGAGATTGAGAGGGGCCGGGTGAGAGGGTTGGTGTGTAACGGAAGGAGGGATTGCGTGCGTGTAACAGGAGCGACTGCGAGGAAACCGCGAGAGAGGGAAGAGGGGACACACGGGCATGGGAAAGAGGAAGGCGGGAGAGGGGAGAGGGACGTGGGGATGCAGAAGCGAGTGATAAGTGAGGGAAGGTGAGAGAAGGAAGGAAGATAGGAGGGACAGAGCATAGGGAGGGATGAAGCATAGGGAGGGACGGAGCATGGGGAGGGACGGAGCATAGGGAGCGTGGGGAGGGATGGAGCATGGGGAGGGATGGAGCACACGAAGGGACGGAGCACACGGAGGGACGGAGTGAGAAGAACGCAACAAGGCGGAGGAGGTTACCGAACGCAACAATTCCCAGGAAGACGAGCAGCCCAAGTTCGCCATTCGATAGGCCAAGCATCGTTCGCCACTCGGTGCTCTGTGTGAAGTCGGCCGGGATGGGATTTGCGACAGAAAACTCTGCAAACAGACGTAATCGGACGCTGAGCGCGAAGCGCGCTCTGACACGCGTCGCGCGATACTATGGTCCTAAATCATGCTCGCTGATTTGCTGACGGTTATTCACACGGGGGAAAGCCACTAGCGAATCTCTAGGGTACAGTACAACTAGGTGGTGCTCTGTCCCTGTGGTGATGAGGGCGCGGTACATTTCGGACCAAAATGGGTTCCCGGAAATTTCGGGCGCACATCCCGTTCGTCCAGTGTTGACCTACGCTCGAAAAAGTGGTGCAAAATACAGTACAGGGGTTCAAGGCGACACGGAACTTTGTACGCGGTTCGCCCTTTGACGTTCAAGGTGCAAAATGCGCGACGCGGCGAATCCGCGACACGACGCGGATCGTGTGTTCGTTTTGGCGGGAGTTACATTTCGAGGCGTCTTGATCGACACGGTACATTACGGCGGTGTGAACTGGCTACATGTCTGGTTACAACATCTACATTTAAATTGTTCAAAAATTGAACTACCTTGGTCCAGAATGTACCGCGCCCTGAGGTGAGATGGCGGAGGATGTTGGAGGATGGGAAATATAACATAGAAATGGAGCTGGATGATTATTGAACTGTATCGAGCTGCTTTTTGGGATGCAAATTCGCGAAAGCGCAATCAACTTTGCGAAGAAGGCTACAGAGTGGAGTATGAGTTCGATTTGACAAATTGGCTGCACCAACGAGATGGTTCGCCACGACATTCCCTAGGCTTTGTGTGACAAATTCCTAGGGAACTGCTAGCATCGCATCACTGGCTCCAAGCTCTAGCTCATAAACAATCAGTCACCCTTGTATCAGCTCGTGGCACAGACGTTGTCCAGGATTCCGCTTCCCGTATGTCATTGACCGAGGCTTTCAAATCGGTTCTGTTTCCCAATATGAAGAAACGCACGGGCTTCCAGGTCGCGACTTTGAAATCGCCTCCTCCGCAGGCGAAGCAAGAAGAGAAAAAGACGCCGACGAAGGCGCCTAGCGGCTCTTCAAGGTGCAGTCTTCTTGATCAGACTATTCCTCCTTGAATTCTAAATGGAAGAGCTTTCGACGCTAGGTGCTAACAAATATTGTTGAGCTTCGCAGTTCATCGAGCTCAGGCTCCTCAAGCTCAAGCTCCGAAACAACAGCGCGTGTCACAAAGGAATGCAGAGGTGAAGAGGTGACATCCGTGCCGCGACCTCCTGCCGCCGATTCTGCGACGAATCAGACCGTGGAAACTTCAAAATGTTCGACTCCTGGTACGACACTGAAACGTGTTTCGTTAACGCTGAATCTCTACTGGCTAACTTCATTCCGCCACTCCACTCAGCAGATACTGCTACGGAGGGAGTTGACGAAAAGGCGAAAGCAAAGTCTCCTGCTGCGTAAGTTTCGTCTTCCTTCGCGTGCATCTGATGTTTTCGCGAGGGCACAGCTCATCACTCTCTTCGTGCTTCAGGTCATCCAGCTCTTCCGGATCCAGCACGACTAATGGGAAGGAAACAAAGGCAGATACTGGTGTTGAAGTGCAGTCGGAGCAGAAAGGATTGGCGAAGGCCGAACCAGTAGAGACTGCTGACGTTACCACGCCAATCCCTGGGGAGGGGAATGACAAGGGAGACTCCAAGGATAACAATGAAGCGAAATCCCTTTTGGAGGTGAATGCAGCATTCAATTCATTGGTTGTTATGACTTCGAAGCCTGAAGATGATGGAAGTGTCAGGAGTCAAGCGGGCGCACAGAGCCAATCTAAGAAAGGTATGACAATTATTATACCGTCATGTGACGTCGCCAATTGTCTGATTGAATGCGGAGTAAACACATTCCATGGCGTTTGCAGGAGTGGCTTATTTTCCATCCGAGAAGGCACACACTGATAAGGAGGCGAAGTAAGTTCTAGGTCAAGTGCCACGAGCATGCAAAGTAAGAGGCTTTCAAGCTATTAACTAATGCCCTTCTCTCTTTCAGGATCGCTGATGGACTGCCAAGTGATGGACCAAAATTACCCGACCAAAGCCCAAAGGCTGAGGGAAATGATGTTGTCAAGTCAACCGGCGATGCTGCTGCACCAGCAGGAGAAGGTCAGAGCATAATGCTGTACAGATATCTCCAACCTCAAGCCACACACATGCTGGTGCAGAGGGTCTCATGCTGGTTTGTCTTGGCAGAAGCCGAAGTGGCTGGATCTGTCAAGGGTTCTGATGCTGATGCACAGAAATGTTATGATTCTGCTGAACCAACTAAACGTGGCGAGGTGGCAAACAAGGACGCGGACGCATCTGACAAAGACGCGGACAATGCTGATGAAGCCAAGTCAAGTGCAAAAAAGTCAACAAAAAAGGGCTCATCATCGTCAAAGTCCCAGAAAGGCCAAGGAGATAGCAAGCCTCCGAGGGCCCCTACGCCTTACATCCTCTTCTCGTATGTGCCCACCATCTCTTCTTCCTGGTTAAACCCTTTCAGTCCTTACCGTCCTGTGTGAGTTTGTGCAGCAATGACGTCCGAGAGTCCATCCAGACAAGAAATTCTGACATGAAGCCAACAGATATTATGAAGGTGAGCTGTCGCTAGACCTCTTGTTACCTTGTGAATGAGAGGTGTGAAGGTACTCAGCGTACTATGGCAATTTCCTGCAGGCAATTGGCGAACAGTGGCGCAACCTGCCCAAGGAAGAGAAAAAGGTGAAGTGGGTTGCCTCTGCGTTGGAAATTTGGTGACTCAGATTTGCACCTTTCTTAACACTGTCGCACACAGACCTATGAGGATAAGGCAGAAGCTGAAAAGTCCAAGCTAGGACTTGAACACGGTAACTCCGGTGGGCCATCTTCTGCGCGCAAAGGTATACCAAAACGTTCCAGCATGAGATTTTTTGAAGTGTACGATTTTCTAGCATTTTATTGTAACTATGGAAGCGTATGTCTGGATTTTCCTTGCAGGAACAAAAAGGGAGTCCAAAGCCACAGCTAAATCCAAGTCCAACAAGGGCAGTGATAAACCTGTTCTTGGAAGACATGGTCAGCCAAACTCAAAGCCCGTTCAAGCAAACCTTCAAGATGGTATGGGTGTTGTACAGCTTTTCCCTGTATGCGACTTTAAAAAGACCTCACGTTGACCCTCTTTTCCAGGATTTATCGTGTTCTGCCTTGAAAACCGGAGTCGGGTTGAGGAGGGGCTTGGGGAAGGGGCTACCTTGGCAGATATTCAACGGGAACTTTCCAAGGAGTGGGAGCAGTTAGGCTTCGAAGAGAGGCGAAAGTACATGAGTGCTGCAAATGCAGGTGCAGATACTGAAGTCAGCCCAGCGAGCATGGCAGCCAGCCCTGATAAGGCCTTAGCATCGTCCATATCAGGTGTGCATGGGGTCCAAAATCCATTCTCCCTTGCAGTTTTCAGCTCTTATAACCTGGGCCCTGCAGATGCAATTGTGGCTGGCTACAAGGAAAACGAGGAGGGAGATGTCGAGGTGCGTACCGCAGTGAGTGACCTTTCGGTGCATGGCATCGTTCTGACGTCTTCTGCTGAATGCAGTTCGTGTTGGCACAAACCTTAGAGGGCGACTTTGTGACAAAGAGAAAGAGGCTGGACTATACGGATCTCGACTATGAAGAGGCCAAGAAGCACAAATCTGGCACCGACGTTTCTAATGCTATCAGTGCTTTCAAAAGAAGGAAACGGCAGTTTTATGCTGTAAGCCCAACTAGTTCAGCAGTGACACGCGGTGTTGGTGTTCTTTTAAGTCTTGGGCTCATTCAGCTGTTTGCGTGCAGGAGATCGAGCAACGAACTGTTAACGGGGTTTTGGACCTTGACGACATCTCTGCAGGGAGCATGCTTGAGGTAAAGCCTTGATATTTCAGGATTTGCGCAATTGTTGTTGATGCTGTCTAACTCTGAGCGCCCTGCCTTGTGTTTCAGACCCTTGCCTTTCTTGGAAACATGCGTGAGGTAAGGTCACAATGTCGTTTCCACATGCAGCCTCTCTTTTGCTCCTCAGCTTTGTCTGACATGAACATGGGCTTGCAGGATGTCTTCCCAACCACGAATTCCAAGCTTCAGTCTCCTGATGTCTGGTATGACTGTGTGAGTAATGCAAAATTGCTTCCACAGTGTGGTTTCTCACCTTTGGTATGTGCTGGCAGGATGAAAGTACCTACACTTGGCCTTTGTCTGCTGGTTCAGAACCTTCTGGATGGAGAGCGACAACACAAAGCGGTTTTGGCGGAGCAACTTGCAGAAGCTAAGAAACGAATTAAGGAGCTAGAGGGGACAAAAGCAGGAATCACTAATGCGATGTGGATGGAGGAGTAAAGATGATTCTGCAGTGCAGTAAGGATACCAGTGGTGTGTTCACTTTTCTTCTGCAAGCTACATACATACATTCCATCTTGTGAATCACATGTGAGCATGTCTAGCGTTTACCACTTAGCACATGGAACATGAGAACATTTGTAGCAAAGAAGTGAGGGACTAGCAAAGCTACAAATGTTCTCCTGCAGTATGGACATAAATAAGCATTTGCCAGGAATTTCAATCCCCATTGGTACAGCACTCCTCATCATCCATGTCCTTGTCTTCATCCTCAACAGACCAAATTCCCTCAAATTCGGTGGCTAGAAAACTTCTGAAGAGATAGCCCACGTAGAAATAAATTCTCCCATTACAGGATGGCCCTGTTTGTATCGTATCCACCGCCTTCCACGTAATCAAAGGCCTGACACGAATCCCCTGCATTGGGTTGGGACAGAGAGGGATATTGTTGTCAGAGACAGCCTCGCATTTCAACGACTAAACGGAATTGCGACTGAATGCCTCTCACCTGCAGCTTTCGAATCCAACCGTTCTCAATGGTCCCACTAATTTTCGCTTCGAAGCGGATGGGGTACCCGCATATCTCCTTCTCAACGGTTTGACTCAAGAATATGCGGAAAGGGCCAGTGGCGTCGCCGTAGCAATGTGTTATGTGCTGAGCAGGCAACAGGTCCCTCGGGAAGCCGTTCAGCTGCATACGAAGAGCACGAAAGGAATCTTGGGTTCTGACTAGAAAGATAGCGAAGAAAGTGAGGCAATGTGGAGTTGAAACGTACACCTACCTCTAAAGCCTTGGCCACGAGGCCACAAGCCGTCTCTCCTTCTCTAGTGCAACCAGCGCAATCACAAGGAGCGTCGTCTCTCATGACTGCGTCCTTGTTGGGAACATGGATAGATGACAAATCCGAAACCACCATCTCGGAGCTAATCGCGATGGGTTGGCCAGCTATGGCTCCTGCAGCGCGCACAAGAAGTATGGAATACCAACACTGAACACTGAAGCCTGCTCCTCTTCTAAAGCATTCAACTTGCAGACGTTGGAGAGATAGGGGCAATGTCAAATATTTCTTCAAATCCACCTCTCCCGCCTTTCTCATCACCTCACCTCATTATGTCAAGCTGAAGCGACAGAGCAGACATTCCATTTCTGGTTTCTCTATCAACCGACCAACAGCCTCCACTTTATCCACGCGCGCAGCCAGCTCGTTGAAGGGGTGTGCGAAGTTCGCTAGCGCGTCTGCGAAACACCTGAAGTCGCAACTGACAGGTTAGTCGCCGTTCGAACTCGAACCGCCATCTCCCTCAAAAGTGTGTTCTGACGACCGTCAACCGACCATGGCCAAAAGTGGGCCAATAAACAGCGGAGATGATTTTCAAAGCCTATCAGCGAGCTTCAATAGCCTTTCGTTGTGTTACAATATTTCAGATTGCCTGCGCGACGTGGCGTGCGAAAGTGGGATCTACGTCGCCCGCCACCGAACTGCCGTCAACGTGGCCGTTCAGCAGCGTCAGGTTTCGAGATCCTTCCCGTTATAATGATATTTCAGATTGCTGCAGTTCAGCACATGGTCAGGAACAACGAGCACTCCACAGATTGATCCGATAAGCAATAAAGCGCTCGTGGGTCACACAAGCTGATTACGATTGGCACAAGTTCTGTAGACCGAAGGCTAAAAGACTTGCACCATGTTATTTCTTTTTTCTTTGATCTGGTCAGCTCACATCCTTCCTGACTTACAATGGAAAATCCCTAGTTGCACGAAGAAATCCGTGAGGATCCACGCTGCATGTGAGTGCACGTACGCTGCACCACATCTCATAGCGAGTCATTCCATGTGGAACCACAGGAGCCAGCAGCACTAATTTCTAGCTGTCAGATACTAAACACCTTCTCACATTACTTCCGTCAATTCCAGCACATCAGGTTTCGAGATATTTTCGTACTAGTCCAGTAACACTTGAGCGTGAAATAAGAATGGTAGGTAGAAGGAATTGCTGTAGACTTGACACGCAAGGTGCGACTTGCTTTCGCCATGGCGCCATTACCTCCAGATAACCAGCCACTTTCTCCGCGGCTCGGGTTTATTTCCGCCCAGCCCGATGCCACCCAATTTTGACCTAAGTTGAACGTTGATTCAAGCTGTAGGATTTGACTCAACTTGACTCAGTTTGACTCAATTTGATTAGATTGATCGGAATTATAGTGTCTTTCTGAGGCGCCTAAGATATACACTGGGATTACAGTCCAAACAGCAATGCCGGCCAATAGCCCACCGCCAGAATCCGAGCCGCGACCCTTCCCCGACCCCTACCACATAGTCGACGCGCTTCGAGCGCTCGAGTCGCGATGGGTTCCCGAGAACCGCTCTTTAGTGTCCTCCCTCGCCAATGTGGGCCCCACTTGCCTCTCCCTCCTCCACTCCTTCGGCTCTCTCCGCGTCTTCGCCTGGCTTCGCCCGGTAATCGCGCCGCTTTTGGCGGGCGCGTGCGTGATGATCGTCGCGCTCGCGTCGCTGCTGGCTTTAAGAGGCGGCGGTGGTCTTAATCGCGACGCGATAGGAGGCAGTGGGGGTATCAGTCGCCGTGGTGGAGCGATTGGGAATGGCGGCGTGATTGGCGGCGTGAATCGCGGCGGGAATGGCGGTGCGGGAGGAGGGGAGGAGTTTAAAGTGGATATGTGGGTGGAGCGAGAGATGCTACGACATGCCGAGGCTGTGTACCAGGTAAGGGGATTGCCGAGGCTGTGATCGAGGTTGGGAGCTTGCCACGGATGTGTACCAGGTAAGGAGAACTCAAATCAGGTAGTCTATTTCCTTCTCGCCATACCCAATTTTCCCACAAACCCCCGCCTCTTTCCCCCCCCCCAACCTCCCCCCCCCTTCCCTTCCCCCTCTCCTCCTCCCCTCTCCCCCACACTCTCTGCCCCCCCATTCCCCCTCCCCCCTTCCCCTTCCGCCCTTCCCCCTCACTTTTCAACCTGCAGGACAACATGCGCCGTAGATCGGAGTTCTTTGGCGGGCGATCGCAGCCGTTGGATCTGGACATGCGGCAGGAGGTAGAGAGCGTGCTGGTGGCGGCGTACCCCTGCCCCATGGAGGAACGCCTGGGGATATGGGCGGATGGGGGGAAGGTGAGTGAGACTGAGAAATCCAGGGTGTACTGTGTCCTGTAGGGCTGGTAGGGCTCGCTGCAGCAGGTAGATTAGAGAGCGTGCTGGTGGCAGCCTACCCCTGCCGCTTGGAGGAACGCCTGGGGATATGGGCGGATGGGGGGAAAGTAAGACTGACGAACCAACCAGGGGTCGTGGCTAGACCAGGACGGATGGCAGTATAACTTGTGCTGGTGGCGGCTACCCCTGCCCCATGGAGGAGCGCCTGGGGACATGGGCGGATGGGGGAAAGGTGTGACTTGGGGTGTACGGTTGGCCGTGCGGGCGCTTAAGGGTAGGGGGGATGTGGACACGACTAGGGTAGGGGAGTGTGCTGGTGGCCGCCTTCTTTCCACTCTCTCCGTCTCTCTTCTCCTCCCTCTGCCACTCATTCTGCTCTGCCTCTGCCAATCCATTTTCCTTTTCGCTCTCTCCAACTCTTTCTCTTCCTCTTCGCTTTCTCTCTCCGCCAATTTGTTTGACTCGCTGCACGGTGGATTGGATTTGCAACATGCGAACATTCATTCCAGAACAAACGATCCTTCCACTCCTCTCCGCCCCTCTCCACCCCTTCCCAACATTTCATTTTGCCTCCACATAATATCACCACCTGTGCAGTGGATTTGCAACATGCGGACATTCATTCCGGAACAACCAATCATCTACAGGTAAGGCAATGATGGGTCAATGTTCGCATGTTGCAATCATGTATACAGGTAAGGCAATGATGCGGTATGAACAACTTTCAATCTAACATATGGGGAGTACACGTTTCAGCAGGGTCAACCCTTCCCACCTGCACTATGGTCCCTTCACCTTGGGTGCGTTCCTGGATCCCGTCGTAGAGCACAAAATGCTAGGCCTGCGCTGCCTAAACCTCGACTATCACTCCTGTTCCCCACATTTGTGTTTTGAGCCGACTCAAAGCACACCTTGACTAGTATCAATTCTGTCGTCCCCATTTCACCAGCATAGGTTCCAGCAGGCGGGAAGCACGCCCCAGCAGCATGGGGAGCACGCCTTCAAGCAGGATATCTCTTCCCGCCTGCCCTCTCGCCCCTTCACCTTCTATCCGTTTCTGGGCCCGGTCCTAGAGCACACCATGCTGTGCCTGCCCTGCTGTCGTTTGAATTGACCCCTGCTCTCTTGTTTGCATGGTGCTCCATCTCTCCCTTGCTCTCCCCTTCTCTCCCGTTCGTCCACATTCACCAGCATAGGTTCCAATGGGGAGTACACCTTTGAGCAAGACATTTCTGCTCGCCTGCACTCCCGCCCGTTCACCTTCGACCCGTTTTTGGATCCGGTTCTCGAGCAGACCATGCTGCGCCTGCCCTTCCTGTCGTTCGAGGCCGTTGGATTGGCAGCGAAATCAACGCTGGAGAAGTGGAAGGAGGAGACCAAGGGGAAGGCGTTTATGACCCTGGATCAGGTGAGAGGGGGGAGGGGGGAAAGGGGAATTATCGTTTTGAAAAACAGGCCTTAGGATTCCTCAGTCTCACATGAAGGGGTGGAAGGAGGAGGAAACCAAGGGAAAGGTGTTCATGACCCTGGATCAGGTAACGGGGGAGAAGGGAAAGGGGACTTTGTATGTAAAAAAAAACAGGGTTTATGCTTCCTCAGTCTCACATGAAGAGGTGGAAGGACGAGCCCAAGGGAAAGGTGTTCATGACCCTGGATCAGGTAAGAGAGGAGAGGAAGGGGGAGTTGGGCTTAGGCTTTTTGGGTTGATTGGCAAACAGCGAGTGCAATATCATGGCAAACGGAAGGAGGAGTCCAAAGGAAAGGCGTTCAAGACCCTGGATCAGGTGCGAACGGGGAGGCGGAGGGAGGGGGTAGGGACTCGGGGAGGGAGGGACTTTGGTTCTGAGAGGCCGGGCTTAGGCTGGAAGGAGGAGACCAAGGGGGAAGGTGTTCATGACTCTGGATCAGGTAAGAGGGAACTGAGGAGGAGGGAGGGAGGTGGGGAGGGAGGCTGCATTGGGTCTAGCAAATAAGGCTGAAGCTTGCCACTGTCGCAAGGACCAGTGAAAGGAGGAGACCAAGGGGAAGGCGTTCATGACTTGGTGCGAGGGGGGAGGAGGTGGGGAGGGGGGAGGAGGGACGAGGGGAGGAGGCAAAGGGAAATCTGGGTTTGTGAATTAGGGGGCAGGGTTCCTAAGTCTCACGTGAAATGGTGGAAGGAGGAAACGAAGGGAAGGCCTTAATGATTCTGAGGTGACTTTTGAGTCGACTCAAAAGTCACCTAGTTACAATGTCACACAACACTTTCATCAGTCTCACGTGAAATGGTGGAGGGAGGAAACGGAGGGAAGGCCTTAATGATTCTGGATCAGCTGGGGAGGCCGGAGGTATGCCTTTAAGGATTGAAGGCCTTAATGGCTAGCCTTTAGGGTTTGTTGAGATTGGTAAAAAGCTCCCTCAAGTGTGGTATCAGAGCACTATCGTTGCAGTGGAAGGAGGAGACGAAGGGGAAGGCGTTCATGACTCTGGATCAGGTTCTTTTGAGAGTTGGACCTTGGATTCGAAAAATAAGGTGTAGGATTCCTCAGTCTCAAATGAAATGGCACAAGGAGGACACCACGGGGGAGGAAACCACGGGGAAGCCATTTATGCCTAAGACCAGGTGCGTTTGTACAGGTGATAGCGAAGCACAACGACCAAACGCACAAAGATGTATTGAGGGGTGTGTGTGCGGACGAACGAGCTTGACATTCTGCCCGCTGCTGCCTTGCTCCATGCCCTCTATGTTCCCTCCATTCGTTATGCCCAATGCAGGTGATGACAAAGCACAACCACACGCATATCGACATCCTCAAGATCGACTGCGAGGGCTGTGAGGCCGTGGTGCTCTTTGACATCCTGCCCGCTGCTGATGTGGCGGAGGGCACCCGCCCCTTGCCCCTAGGGACTCCTCCCATCGGCCAGATGATTATCGAGTTTCATGAGTGAGTGACAAAAACGATTACAGAAGAGAGTTAGTGATTGGATGAGTGAGGGAGGCCCGCCCTTCGCCGCTAGGGACGCCTCTTATCGGCCAGATGATCATTGAGTCACGAGTGAGTGTGTCTGGGTTACACTGTTGAGATTGTGAGGGCTGTGAGGCCGTGGTTCTGTTTGGCATTCTCCCTGCTGCTGGCGTGGCGGAGGGTACTCGCCCTTTGCCCCTCGGGACGCCTCCCATCAGCCAGATGATCATCGAGTTCCATGAGGGAGTGAATGGGTGGGCACGAGTGAGATGAGTGAGGAAACGTGGGAGGGTGGCAAGAGTTATACAAGTGAGTGTCTTCTTTCTAGATGCACAGCTGATAATCGGGTTGCACGGATGAAACTAAAGGACTCGCTTTTCTCTGTACCCTTACTTTTCCCCGGTGTTGAGGTGCCTGAAAACAAGAGTTATACACGTGATTGTTTTCTTTCTAGATGCACAACTGATAATCGGGTTGCACGGATGAAACTAAAGGACTCGCTCACTTTTCTTAGTACCCCTGCTCCTCCTCGCAGCGTGGGCAACCCGAGCAAGACGCTCTTCCTGGTGTACCATGTTGAGAAGATGGGGCATTGGATGTTCCACGTGTAGCATGCTGCTTCCTTACCATATTTCTGCTGCTCCTCCTGCGCCCTTCCTATTTCTTGCAGTGTGGGCAACCCCAGCAAGACGCTCTTCCTGGTGTACCATCTGGAGAAGATGGGGTATCGCATATTCCACGTGGAGCAGAACGCACAGCACCCAGAGTGCTGCACAGAAATCTCATTTATCCACGAAAGCCTGATCTACCCTATATGATCCTAGTGCCGTACTATGAAGATGATCTCTCCCCATATTCCACGTGGAGCAGAACGCATAGCACCCAGAGTGCTGCACCGAGATCTCCTTCATCCATGAAAGCCTGGTCTACCCGAGATGATGTCAATTACCATACCAAATACTGTATTCTGTGTTTCAGCAAGATTAAAACCGCAAGCTAAAGTGGCACACCTCTCCCCTCATCATATTCCATGTGGAGCAGAACGCGCAGCCCCCAGAGTGCTGCACTGACATCCCATTCATCAACGAACGCCTGGAGTTCCCTAGATAACATGCCACAGTACCGTATGGTCATTTTTCTGCTCCTCCTGTCAATTTATACATACCGTATTCCCCCGGATAAAACACCCGTCGAAATAAATCACCCATGGGTGGTTTGGGCGGACTTGGGTGCTTAATTAAACTGGATATTCATACAACCCTAGTTTTTGACATGAAACCAATACACCACCCATTTGCACCGAATTGCTATCAATTTTAGCTATAACACAAGGATCCGTGCGCGGGAGAATCTGTGCACTGGTCGGCCCTCGTTGGTTAGTGAAGGAATCCGCAGCAGATTTCGTCAAGTCAAGCTGCCACGTGGTGAGAACATACCCCTATTGGCTGTAAAACACTGCCAAACTGCGACCTCGCACATCACTCTCATACAGTCACACTTGGTGCGGCGCCAGGTCCTTCAGAGGTTCGGCCTTCAGTTCTCCTCCGCACAGCCCACACCTTTGCCAGTACATCACAGGTTCTCGGCTCCAGTCCCTGAGGAGTCGGTAGAGCCTAGTGGCCCATCCGCAGAGTTGGTGGGTTGCCTCATGTACTTGATGACTTGCACTCGTCCAGATCTCGCATACCCTCTCCGCATCATGGCTCGCTTTGTGGCGATAGGCAGACACCGACCACAGCACTGGTCGGCCGCTACGAGGGTTTTGTGTTATCTAGCAAGTACATGGGGCATGGGGCTGGTACTAGGAGAACGCAGGCCACTGGTTCTTATAGGGCACACAGACGCTTCGTGGGCGGACGACGCTAAGACGCTCAGGTCCTCCCAAGGCTACTGCTTCAGCATTGGTGCATGCACCATCTCGTGGAGTTCCACCCGCTCGTCGTCTGTTGCCTAGTCTAGCTAAGAGGCTGAGATCTACGCTGGTGCCATGGCGGCACAGGAGCTCCGCTGGCTGACTTTCTTGCTCACAGACTTTGGTGAGCGGCCTAGCTCTGCTCCGGTCCTGTACGCTGACAACAGGGCCATGATCCTCCAGTGTCAGGAGCCTCGCCTGGAGGGCAGAGCGAAGCACATCCAGCTGCGGTACTTCCTCTTGCGCGAGTTACAGCAGCGCCGCCACGCCTGCGTAGTACACTTGGCCTCCAGTGCCGACACAGCTGATATCTTTACTATGCGCCTAAAGATCATCAGCGGCAATGTGTGCAGCTTGGTCTAGTTCCTGTAGCTCCTCACTTGCTAAGACCTTGATTGTGTACTACTCTTTTATATATACTACTGACTGGCCTTGTGGCTTCTTTCACAGTGGTTGGACTAGTAATGCCGCCCTGGTTTGCTCTCGCCTAGTTTGTACCCTTCTGACTGGTCTTCAGACCCTTGTCTCAGAGGCTGGACTAGTAGTGCCACCCTGAGTTGCATGTCTCTTGCCAGGCAGTGCCCCTTATCTAGCCTAAGGGGTGTGTTAAACATATATGCATATGTTATTATAGGCTAGATAGGTGAATGCCTTTAGAGAGTATAACACTAGCACAAATGTACCCTGTACTTCCGAAACTTGACATTTCATTACTCTGAGAGCTTCCACCTTAGCCTATCCTAGTTTAGAGTGCACCACCCTTAGCGCGCCCCGCCCTTAGGACGGTCCGCCGCGTTAGGCCCTAGCGCGCCACTGCATCGGCCCCCTACACGAGCCGCGCCGGCCCCCTACTCGTCATGCCAGCCTCTGCTCGCCACACTGGCCCGAGCTCGCCGCTGGCCCCTGCACGCCGCGCCGGCCCCAGCCCGCCACCGGCCCAACTCGCCACGCCGGCCCTAACTCGCCGAGCCGGCCCAATCTTGCCGTGTTGGCCCCAACTTGCCGCCGGCCCTTGCTCGCCGCGCCGACCCTAGCTCGCTGCATTGGCCCCATCTCGCTGTCGGCCCCTGCTCTTCGTGCCGGCCCCTACTCGCCACGTTGGCCCGAGCTCGCTGCCGGCCCCAGCTTGCCGCGCTGGCCTCTGCTCGCTGTGCCGGCCCCAGCTCGCCACCGGCTCTTGCTCGCCGCGTAGGCCCCAGCCTACTGCTGGCCCGTGCCTGCCGCACCGGCCCCAGCTCGCCGTCGGCCCCTGCTCCCAGCGCCAACCTCTGCTCGCCGCGTCGGCCCCAGCTCACCGCCAGCCCCTTGTCGCCGCCGGCCCCAACTCCATCGCTCTCCACCGCACTCCACCGCTTTTCACCACCAACCACTGTACTCCACGCCTCGCCAACAAAACTGTGTGCCCCCGGTTCCTCCTCCTGCTGTGTCCTTAGCGGTTGCAGTCGTGCTGTTGTGCGGCTTCACCTGGTGAGCCGCGCCGGCCTCTGCTGACATGCGTGCACCATGGCGGTCGCCGTTCTCTGCCTCGACGCCGAGGGATGCGTGGCGGACTTCGAGGCTTGGCTCGCCGACTAGCACTGCCAGCTGAAAGGTTAGCGCCAGGACGGCGAGTCTCTGGCCGTCCATGTCGAAGGTAAGCTTCCCTGCCCTCCCGAGCGTGGTGCCCTCGCTACAGTTGCCTTGCCTGCTGCGTCTCTGTTTTTTGCAGCTGATGAGCTCGCTCGCTCTGTCTGAGAGTTGCGTGACGCCACAGCGCAGCCAGCTATTAGTCATGCCCTCCCGCCATCCGAGTGTTCCCACTTTCAGGCCATAGCGACTGCGAAGGAGTATCTAGACACTATTATCGCTCACCATTTCACTCCATCCACTGCCTCTGCTAGCCGTCTCCTCCGGCCCTTGCTCTTCCCTGACCTAGCTTCCTTCCCCACTATCGTTGACCTGGCGAACCGCCTGCGTTGTCACAGGATCGAATTGGTCGAGGGAAAGTTGCACTACCGATCGATACAAGGCGCTTTTTAACTTCCAACATACATCAGGTAACCATGTTTATCCTATCCAAAAGGAATAGACCCTTCTAGAAATAGAATCACCCTGCATATAGCCACGCGAGGCTATCGACTATAAGGGGTTACGCAAGGTTTATGCTAGACATAGTGCGCCAGTACATCCCGGGCCTGGTCGGTGATATAATTATAATAACAGGATAAACCAAAGGATAATGAAGAATGAGGAATAGGAAACCCAATGAGAAGAGATAAAAACCAAATGAATCAGGATAAAAAGGAGAATGAGATAGAGAATAAATATAGAAATGAGAAAAAAAAGGTATAACGGGGTCATACTCTCACACTTACCCCCCTCAAAGCTGGGTGGTAGTAGGAACACCCTGCTTGACAAGGTAGTCGCGAAGAGGACAACGAGCGTTACCCATGTCGGATTCAGAGACCTAGCTATCCTCAGAAGAATCATAGCCCTTCCAATGAATGAGAAGCTCCAAGGAGCCATTCCGACGACGACGGTGTGCAAGCACGGACTCGATTTCGTACTCGGGTTCATCATGGACGAGGATGGGCGACGACGGCGGCAGTTGGCGTCCATTGGAGACCGTGTTGGGATTATCGTAGGGCTATAGAAGTTGGACATGGAAGGAGTTGTGAATCTTACAGGTAGCTGGCAGGCATAAGCGGGAGGTAACGGGGGTGACATGTGCTTCAACGAGGAAGGGAGATGGCTGATGTCAAGATTGCGGGTATCGAGTAGGACACGGTCTCCTACGATGATGGTTTTGTCATTGCGGTGACGATCGGCATGGCGCTTTTATTGCTGCTGAATATCGATGAGCGCTTGTGGGTCCGATCCCCAAGTTGATGCATGGTGGTTATGAAGTCGTGTGCAGGTTGGACTGTGGCTTGTGCTGTTGGTTTCTGTGGTGTGAGCAAGTTGCGTCCGTAATAGAGGAAGAATGGTGTATATCCGGTAGCGGCGTGAGTGGCGTTGTTACAGGCAAACTCCAGGACGGGTAGATGCGAGTCCCATTTGGAGATGTCGTCCTTGCATGCGCGCGGAGGAGGTGATCTACAATTTGGTTGAGGTGTTCAGTTTGTCCGTCTGTTTGTAGATGGTATGCAGATGATATGGCGAGTTTGGTGCCAAGCAGAGACATCAGTTCCTACCAGAACTTGTTGGTGAACTTAAGGACTCGGCCAGAGGTGGGTGTGGTTGGAATGCCATGTTGTGAGATGATGTAGCAAACGAAAAGTTGTGCTGTCTCCTCGGTGCGTGATGTCGTGTGTGTCGAGATGAAGTGTCCCATTTTGGAGAATCTGTCGATGACGGCAAGGATTGCGGCATGACCGTGTGTGGTAGTTGGTAACCCGAGTATGAAGTCCAGGCTAACCACTTGTCATGGCTGTTCTGGGACAGGAAGAGGCTGTAGTGTTCCTGTTTTCTTCTGCTTACTGCTCTTCATCCATTGACATGTGTCGCACCAGGTGACGAATTTTTGTACGTCGTCTGCCAAGTGGGGCCAATTGTAGTGCTTTGCATAACTGGAGAGTGTCTTGTTAATACTGAAGTGTTCCGCGTATTAAACATCGTGGTATTCTTCGAGTAGTAACTGGCGCAAAGGCGGGTAGTTGGGTACCCATATTTGCGTTGAGCCTTTCTGGTACGCGATGTCACTGTCCCACTGTAGCAGGTGACGCTTCTCTGCCAAGGGAATTTCGGGGTCGATGGTGTACCCGTGTGTGAAGAGTCCCTTGAGTAGCGGATTCATCCCTTCGACATGGATAGCGGCAACGTGTGCAGGCCCGGTGAGAGCGTCTGTTTTGTTTTTGTGGCCGAGCTTGTACACGATGTCGTAGTGGAAGTGTGTCTCAAGGAAGTCAATTTACCGGGCCTACCGCCTAGAGAGGTTTCGCTGTGTCTTAAAAAATTTCAGGCTGCAGTGGTCATGCCCTTTCGCGTACTGTGACACGAACTTGCTGTAATATTTGGCTAAGTCTCCTTCTTAGCCAACTGCTGCAACTCCTTCACGTTCTTGAGTGCCTTCTACGTGTGTACGACTTCGATCTTCTTGGGGTCGACGTGAACTCCTTGAGAGCTCACCGTGTGTTTTAGGAATTGGACATTCTTGAGGGTGAATTCGCTCTTGGATAACTTGATGTAGAAGCATTCTCGTTGAAGAATTTTGAAGATGCGTCGCAGGTGTTCGGCGTGCTGCTTCATGTCGC